AAGTTCGTTTCTGACTTAATTTTCCCGAAATTGATTAAAATAAGGCCTAATCCTGCCATTTTTCAGTTTTGTTTAAAAAAGTTTTTTGACCCAAAATTATAGAAGATTTGTGACTTTAGTTGTAGAAAATAAAAAAAATTAAATACAAAATTTTGAATTGTAGAGTAGTTATTTGTCTGTTCTTTAACTCATTAGCTTGAGAAGTTACGTTTTTTGCAAAAACAAACAAAATTTTTCAGTCTCCGAAAACATTTTAATATTTTGGACACACACCAGTTTGAGTTTTTGCTTGAAAAATTTCAACTTTCTCGAAATTAACTGAAATAACGTAATTCAGAGCATTTTTCATCAGTTTTCTTTAAAAAAAAATCTGTTAAATCTTATTGAACTGATTTTTATTTTTATTTATTTATATTTTAAGTGTTAGTCAAAAACAAAAATTCTTTTTCGATTTTATCGTTTATTTTCTCGCAATGACACCAACATTAATTGCAGTAGATGCAGTTACCATCACTTAGTCGTATCGTCTGAAATGTAACTAGGACAAAACAGATTGACACTAATTAATGATGATATATTACATCCAAAACCAAAAAATTCGATCGTAAAGTGAAAGGTACAAAACACCATAATAGGTAAAATTAGTCACTGAATTTTTCCATCTTTGAAATGCATCGAAAAAAGTGATCACTCGTCGATTCAAAGAATCGAGATTTAATCTTAAGAGTGATAAAAAAACCACACAATGAATACCTATTTCATCTAATTGGCTCTCCCTGTAGCGCACATATTCTTACCGTATAGAGAGACAATAATAACTTTACGTTTCCGTGTAACGACTCACTAAAAACACAATAACACCTTCGAGCACTCTGTAATTCCAAAGTAATTAAAATTTCTTCTTTCAACAAACGTCGTCTGACATCTGGAAGGAAATATCTCTGCATGTCTCAAGACCATCTACAGGGGGTGCCAAAAAAGTTAGAAACTTGAAATTTGGTATGTAAGTTATTTGTAGCAAGGGGACGTAGCACAAAACAAAGGGTAAAAATCGGTCACATGAAATATACCTTATTAAACAGTAAAATGTGATAAAATAATAAAAATAAAATAATAAAAATAAAATCTAAGACGTGTTCTGATTGGTTGATTTTAAAAGACGTAATTGATTGGAACAATGACACTCAACTTTAAGGCATTAAATATTTTTTTAACTTTTTATTGGTCTAGTAATCGAAAATCATATTGGCTCTAGGGTTGGCTCCACCCACTGTACAAAATTAAATCCAATTAAAGTAAGATAACTCACACTAAACGCTGATTTGTTACAAAAATTCGATTCATAATTCAATAATTATTCACGATTTTTTAAATGGGTGGAGTTACTTTACGTTTTTGTCGGATTTTGGCCAATAAGAAATAAAAACCGGTTTGTTCTCACGGTATTGGTAATTACTTGAATGGGAATGATTATTATTGGCCCTTGTAATAAACCCCACCAATTATCCAAAAAAAACTGTTTTAATTCAATTTCGAATTTCTTTTGAAAAAGACGCAAAAATAATAAATTAAATTAAAAATTAATGTTAAGAGACTATTTCGGCAATTTTTTCCTCAGTGGATTCCAAGAAAATGCAGATTAAAGCTTTCCTCTATTTTAAATTTGTTTCCTCAATTGGCTTTGAAAAATTCAACTTTTTCCCGTTTAGTGTGTTCTCAGTTGGTAATAAGAAAAAATTAGTTTACCAACAAATTGACAAATCATTGACAAAGATGATGAGTTGAAATTTAATTCGTCATTTGGCAATAAAAATAAATCGTTTTAGTGATAAAAACTGAGGATTATATTTGTAAATTTAAATTTGTGTCGCTCATCGGCTTTGAAAAAACTAATTTTGCAATTTCACGAGCTATACGAACTATACCTCAAGGGTATATTTATTTTGGCACAATTTTGGGTTTTTTTCTCAAAAATTCTTTGCAATTTTTTTAATTCTTATTGTCTGTTTTTGCTGACAGTAAGCTCGGGAAAGACTTAATTAAGCTGAGGTATGTAAAAATAAAACGCCATAAAATTGCACAAATATTTTTACTTTCCCTATCCCTTATTTGGTTAGTAGCAAGGGGACGCAGCATGAAACAATTGGTTATTAGGATGTTTTCCAAATAAGTAGGATAAGGAAAGTCGTATGATGTTCACACCAGATTTTTTTCATGTTTCTGGTATCATACCTTACATGGTATTTTTTTCTGGCGCACCCTGTGTATTTACTATAACCCTTGACTAATTGATATCTAGCAGGGGCCCCAGCGTGAGATGATTATCCTCCGATTGTGCCATTTCATTCTCTATTTCAGGCCTGAAAAACTGAAATTTTCAGTGATTTTTTTTTCATCCGTCGCGTCGCCACGACCGGTTTATGAAAAAGATAAAATCAAGTGCTGAGTAAAATTAATTTCCTAGACTGTGGATTGTTATTGTGAGACAAAAGAACACGCATTCTTGGATGTAACTAGACACCGGTTAATTGAATATTTTATCGTCGAGAAAGCTCATATTAAATTGTTTAATCTTTGTTGCTTGATGACATAACACATGTCTTGATAACAGAGGTTACGGCTTGCTTTCGCGGAAATGCGACACGATAATGGAAGGGAAATCGCGGCGACCTCTAGGAAACGCTGTGGTCGACGAATTTTTCGGTCAAAATTTGACCAAAAACATTTTTTTTTCACTTCAAGATTTACTTAAAAAAAAACGCTGTGGTCAACGAATTTTTCGGTCAAAATTTGATCAAAAATATTTTTTTTTACTTCAAGATTTACTTTAAAAAAAATGCTATGGTCGACGTATTTTTCGGTCAAAATTTAACCAAAAATATTTTTTTTACTTCAAGATTTACTTCAAAAAAAAAACACTGTGGTCGACGAATTTTTCGGTCAACATTTGACCAAAAATAAAATTGTTTTACTTCGAGATTTACTTCCCAAAGTCGCAATAACGCTTTATGCATTTTTCGAAAACGTCATTTTGACCGATTTTTAAATTTTTGATTATTTTAGAAAAATTTAGGTATTTACGTGTGGAATCAGGAAAATTACGCTTATCAGAATTGTTGTCCTTATTGGGGTACAAACCTGATGCAACTGCGCTGCTATGCCCCCGGCTAGTGTCTCTGATTTATTCCAATATGATTATTAAAGGCAACTTATTTTTTTATTTTAGATAATTGTTGATAAAATCAAAAATATCAAAAATACATACATGTACTATAAAAAACAACTCAACAAATCGCTGTTTTATTTGAAATTTTTTTTTTACCAATTTACCGAGTTGAAAAAGTTGACAAAATTGAACTAATTTTCACCTGATTACAACTTAAGGTTTAAATCTATTCAACAGTGTCGAAGGTTTAAGTTAAGTTTTTTACATAAACTGAGAGATTAAAGATAAAAGTTAAAAATTTAATAAAATCTTTATTACTCTAACAATTTAGTGTTAGAGTTGCCAAAATCTTGTAAAAACAAAGTTTTCAATTTAAAATTCTGCTTAAACTTTCAAAAAAACAAAAAAGGCTTCATTTTCGATGATTTTTCGGATTATTTTTAACAAAAATACGTTCTTAGCTGAAAAACTCTCGACAAATGGAAAATATTATAATTTTCGACTTAATTTGTTGATTTTTTGCTTTGTTTTAGTAAAACCTCGCGAAAAACCAAGATTTATATAATTTTTGGTAAAAAGAAAAACTATTTTTAGCCAATTGGTGGATTGTCGAATATTTTTTTGAAAAAATTTGACGAAATAATCAAATTTCTAGTTGAAAAACGTGAAAAATGCTGGAAGAAGTATATAATAAAATATAATATAATATAATATTCTTCCTGAAACAATTAAGTGATTTTTGACTCGGTATAGCAAAACCTCGAAAAAAACAGTTTTCAGTTTAAAAATCTGCTTAAACTTTAAAAATGTGCTAAAACTCACTAGAAATGCAAAAATATTATAATTTTTGACTTAACTTGTTGATTTTTTTGGTTAGTTTTACAAAACCTAAGATTTTAATACAAAAACCTGCTTAAAAACATTTCCGACAAATTTTTGTGGTTTTTGGAATATTTTTGTCTTAATTTTGCTCAAAAAATTCGCCTGAAACACTAAATAACAACAAAATCATTTTTTTTTTTGTTATTTTAACACGAAGAAAGAGTTTTCAGTTTAAAAATCTGCTTAAACTTCTAATAAAAGGCAAAAATAGCATCATTTGCCTCTTAAGTTAGTGATTTTTTGCTTTTTTTTTTAAATATCTTGCGTAAAACCTAAAATTTTAGTACAAAAACGTGTAACAATTTTTGTGCTTTTTGCCTTATTTTTGTCTTAATTTTGCTCAAAAAAATCGAGTAAGAGAAACAAAATGACAACAATATCATTTTTTATTAATTTTTATACGTGTTTGGATTTGCAAAATAAATGAAAAAACAAAGTAAGTCGAGCGAAACAAGCTACAATTGCGATTTTATTTTGTAATTTTTTAGCTTGTAAAATGAAATTTTTTTGCAAAAACGTGCTGTAACACTCAAAATTTCCTATCTTTGAGAAAAAAAATCGTAGTTGTGTGATAAATAGTTATTGAGAAAATCGCTGGTAAAGACAAAAAACTATCAAGAATATTGCGATTTTTTTAAAAACTCAAGTAATTCGATTTTTCTCAAACTCAGTTTTCTGAGACACTCTATATATTGTGATAGCTTTTAGGCGTTTTTACCATTATTGTTTGGTTTTATAAACAGAAAAAGGGTATTCTCAAATTGCTACGCCACTGATCTTCATCAAAATACAATGTGCATTTTTTTCAATTCCACGCTGTATAGCGTAATTATGAAGGGTCACCGAATTAAGTGTGCCTTGCACCTGCAAGTTTGATTACAATATTAACGAATATTTGGTCAATAATAAATTCAAGTTTTGAGGGGATCGGGTTTGCAATAAATGAGTTGTGTTTTGAGAATGAGATTTATTTCTTCTTTGACTAATAACAGAAGAGACGTTCAAAAAGTGCGATTCACAGAATCGTTCAAACTTAAATAGGTAGATAAAAAAATAACAAATTAAATAATTAAGTAGCCATGTCTTTGTACACGCAATAACATAAAACACTTTTCTGAAAAGAGAAAAAAAAGAAAATAATAAATATAGATAAATAAAAAGAGAGTTTGAAACCGACTGGTTTAAGATTAACAATGTGAATACTTATCTAATAAACTTACGTACAATAGTAAAAATAATTAAACATACGTTTAACATTAACATATAAACAAAGGTGTGGCACAAATGTAAAAATTTTATACATAGAGTATAGAAAAAAAAACAGGTAACAAATTGAATAATAATTTTAGTGGCACGAAACTGCTAAAATTCATACATTTTTTTCGAGAATGAGACATTTTCTCATCATTTTAAAATTCGATATCAAAAATATATAACTAATCAAGTTATTATTACTCTCGTTAAAATTAAAGTAGTAATAACGAAATGTACAAATATCACAGTATTCGTATTCTCGTCAAAATCTAAACATTACGTATCATTAAAATAATATTAAAGCATTTTTGTTCAAAACATAACAATCATTTCGTCTTTAGGCAAGGAAATTCAACATTTACAGGACACAAGCTTAACTAATCAAGTAAGTAAATCTACAAGCACTCGCAATTTACATTTTACAGCCTTCATTTCGAGTCTTAACTGATCAAAGTCTATTATCTAAAATACTAATCGATTTTTAGACAGCACACCCTTTTGGGAAAAATCGGCACTAATGGATGGATCAAGATTCTATCTATCTATGTTGATATGTTTAAGACCCTTGAAAATATTAAAATGGGACCCCATGGGTAGCGCAGCCCATCGCGGCTTCAAAAACTTTTAGGGTTCTTTATGGAGAAGTTTGCGACTTGGCTAAAACATAACCTCAACCAATGTTGCCACTTTTACACAAAAGACCCGTTTCAAAACATTTTTCTCGTTTTTTTTTATAAATTATGAGGTAGTTACACAAAACATAAAGTGCTCGAATTTTATTATAGACTTTTTCAGTGTAAGTACGTTTATGAATACGAAAAGTTGAAAAGTTTACATGAGTTAGTCTTGCAATTTTTTTTCTCTTACAATTTATAAATACAACAGGCACTGGGAGATTATTCGTAAAAATGTAAAAATCACTAACCTGTGACCGGATAATCAAAAAGTGTCCATTGTAACCTAAGTAGAAAATGGCCAATACAACTCTGATCACAATTTAGAACTAGGGTTAGTGGAACCAAAGACAGCGAAAATGCGATTTTTATCACAAAAAAACTACTCAAAAACAAAGAACTATTCAAGGCTTTTGGCAAGAATAAACAAATCAAAAATGTTGACTATTCTGTGATTTTTGTTCTCCTTTAAAATAAAAAAAAAACTCAGACTTGCAAATCACTAATTTGACTAAAAACACATCATTTTTGATATTCACATTTAAATAAATTCAAAAAAAGGATACAGAAATTTAGACAACCCTTTATTAAGAAAAATCTTTTTTGTCATTTTTTAAACCTTTCTTTTATCAATAGAGAAAAATTCTTGAACATTGACAGTTTTTTAAATGTTTTTTCTTGATTTTCTTTCAAAAACAAAAAATTTCAAGCCTTTTGTTGAAATGTTGACCATTCTGTGATTTTTGTTCTCCTTTAAAATGAAAAAAATGGTCAGACTTGCAAATTACTGAATTTCGAATAATTTGACTAAAAACACATAATTTTTGATATTTACATTTAAATAAATTCAAAAAAGGGTATAGAAATTTAGACAACCCTTTATTATAAAATATCGTCGAGTATAAAAGCGTCTTTGTTGTTTATTAAACCTTTTTTTTACTTTTTATCAAAAAAAAAACAAAACTTTAGCAAATAGAGAAAAATTCTTGAAGAGTGAGTGTTTTAAATGTTACATTGTTAAAAACCAATATATAGAGTGTTCGATAATGACTGTTTGAATTGGCAACATTTTGATTGACAGATATTTGACGTAACAAGATTGTAGATTCTATTATTGTTCTATCCTGTCAATGTCAATCAACCGGATTTATTCCAATTGTCCCATTTAAAAATAAAATTTAGCATTGCCAACTTAAAACAGTTTTTCCTAACCACCCTGTATTTGACCGTTGTGCAAACTTGTTTTTTTAACATGTCAACAAATTTATATAACATTTTTTTTAATCTTGTGTTTTTTTTGTTAAAAAACGGACAGTAACCGTTTTTTTTAATGTTGACTGTACATAACGAGAAACCAATATACAGAGTGTTTAAAAATGACTGAGTTGGCAACAAAATAAAAAATGGTTATGTTTTTGTATAATTTTTGTCAATATCAAACAACCGGAAGATACATCAGTTGTGCCATTTAAAAATAAATCAGCATTGCCAACTCAAACTGTTATTCTTGAACTAGAAAAACTAAAAAAACAACATTTTTAATGTATTTGTCAAAGTTTGTGCTAAAAAAATTACTTTTGACTAAAAATTTTGAAAGTAAAAAGATTATTCAATGTTGCCAACTTAAAGTCACAAGCCATAGTGAGCTGAAATTTAAATATTTCAAAAATGTTTTTAGTTTTTTTACTTTGTCAAAATTTGCACGCCCCTGGTTCCACTCCCACCTCGTGTAGAAAAACAAGTGACATAATATCTGGCTCGAGTTCCGCCACTGGCCATTTATTATTTGGCACAAAATGTAAAATATCGCTGTTTCGTCTAAACTGGCATGTCAATTGACGCACAATGGAATGAAATGAGATCTTTAGTGACCACACAAACACTGTAATATTGACACCTCGACTAGAATTTCCACCACAAAATTCCCCAAAATCCTAGTGATTTTCAGTCTTGACAGGCGTCACCAAATCCGGTTCGTACCTCGCATGCGTCCTCATATGTCTCGTGATCATGTCTCTGCGACATGCCGCATAGGGGCATTGGGGGCACTTGTAGGGCTTCTCCCCCGTGTGCGTCCTCTGATGCGTCGACAAATGATCCGAACGGGAGAAAACCTGCCCACAAACACGGCATGTATACGGCTTCACTCCCGTGTGTAGTCTCATATGCCTCGTGAGCATATCACTCCTAGCAAACGACCGTTTACAGACATCACATAAATATGCCTTGGCTGTGCTCTCGCCGGTATTTTGCCGACTTTTATGCCTCGAAGCCATGTGTTTGGCCAATCGGTCATGTAGACTAAACATTTGCCCACAAACGGGGCATACATATGCCACGTCAGACCCCGGAGGCATCTCCTCCACGACGGGGGACACCTCCAAATTGTACCGCGACGCCACTGACTCCTTCGTGGTGGGGGACGCAACATCGCCTTTGACCACCGGAACCGACACTGGACCTCTGAAGAGAGGGAGTGGCGAAGGGAGTGGTTTCTTCACCGAAAGATCCAATGGCGAGTCTTGGGGAAGTGTCAAAGGGTGTGGCCAGTTTTTCCAAAGTGGGAGGTCCGAATCAGAGTGACTGCGTCGTCGGAAAATGTCTGGTAGGTATTTGGAGTGGAAGTAGCGTTCGAAATTGCCAGAGGAGGCGGGGCTAGGGGCGGGGAAATACCGATCGTAGGGTGTGTGACCAACACCAGTGACGCATTGATAGCAAGGACATGACGTACGTTGAAAAGGGAGGGGAGGACTACAACTAGCATCGTCCTCTTTCAATCGCAAAGGACTGAAACTGATTCGAGGCGATTCGGTCGAACTGTGTGGTGATTTGTTACTAGAGCTTGCAGGACTGAAGACATCTTCGTCAAATTTGAAGACATCAGGAGTTAATTGTCTGTGTTTGGTGGTTTGTTCTTCGATGTTGTTGTTGTTGGGAGGTGAGGCGATTGAGTCATCATCAGGAATGTTGTCGTTGTGTCCTCCTGTTAGCTTATCCAGGACTTGGCTGAGTCTCTTCCGTTTCCGTTGTTTGGTACCTTGGCGGTGGTTGTGGTTGACGACCAATGGATGGTTGTTGTTGACTTTATCGGTGGAAGACTCAACGGCCGTCTCTGCCATCGTCATCCTTCTGCATTACCTGGAACAAAGTTGAGGTTAACGAAACTGAGTCTTGTCTCGCCGCGGGGTAAAAACTGGTAGTGCCGCCACCTGACCTCGTTATGATATATGAATGGGAACAGCAGACACGCACGAATTGCTACTTGGACGGAAGCACGTGGTGCAATGCGACGTCGGGGGTGGCAATGGCGATGCAGCCGGCGCAGAACTGCAGTGCCACTGCAAGACTTTTCGAATTGGTGCAGATAGCGAGGTTATTTAGTGCCGGCGGCGGCGGCGGCGGCGGCGGCGGCAAGGGACGTGACCCGAGTATTTATGATCGAAGACGCAATTAAATTCAAAACTACTAAAAATTATTACAGTGCTAAATCGTAAAAAATTCTTGAAGCACGAACCGAAACTGAGTGCTTTAATAACACTGAAGACTATCAATTAATTCTTATTTCAATTTGTCAACACTGGTTTATGCGTTACTATTTTCATCACAAGATGTGTTGTATAAAAATGGCAGGGCCGTACCCAAGGGGGCACTTTGTTATATAGTGTTAGGTGTTAAAAATTTAGTTTTTTTGTTATTTTAGTGAGTCAATTTTAAATTTTTGTGAATTAATTTTTCATGTGTTAAGAATATTTAAATTTAAGACAAAAGTATTTCGAAAAATGCTAAAATGCTAAAAAAGGTACGTTTCAGAATAGATAAAATTATAAAATTTGGTACCTTTATATGTACACCTAAACGAATGCCAAATAACAAATTTTTTAATCAGGGGCGTCCTAAACGGTAAAACAAATTTAATTTTTAATTTTTATGCTGTTTATGGTCTGTAACATAAATTTTTAAACCGATTTTTACTAAAAATCCGTAAATTGTATCGGAAAAACATAAAAGACCTTTTTTTGAATAACTATGAAATTTTGTTGCTGAAAGTGGCAAAAAACCACAGGCAAAATAGAGTAAATTTTTTACTCTAATCCTATCTAGTTTAGGAACCCTAATTAAAAATTTCAATATATTATTTTTGTACTTGTTTAGGTGTATAAAAGTTATCATCTGTACCAAACTTTGAAATTTTTTTCTAAAATGATTTCCGAAATATGGAAAAGATGCACCCCATGCGTAGCATTTTTCGATATATGTACATAAAAAAATTTTGTTTTAAAAATGAATATCCTATCTCCTGTTTAAATTTGTAACAATAAAAAGTATTAAAAAATTGTTTTATTTTTTGTTACTTTTGTGAGTTAATTTGTATTTTTTTATGTTTAATTAGGATCTCTTATTTCAATTTAAAATAAAAACGTGTACTTAGAGATTTTTGCTTTTTAATCCGCCTTCTTTCATTTCATTTTCATGGATCAACAAAAAACCCCCCCTCCCGAAATAAAATCCTGGTTACGGCCCTGAAAAATGGGATACCGTAACTGTCAAAAATGTGTAAATATAACAGTTATAATTGTCAAGGTATTTAATGGTGTATTATTTTATAACATTCCATATTTGCGAGTTTTTATCACTTTGTTTACTTTTTAAATATCTAACATTTAATCAAGAACGATAATAATCCATACTTAAAACGCGTCCTTTTTTCAACAAAAAATATGGTATATAATATGAATATGATATCACGTTTTTGCTATAAATGAAGTAATTAAAAAAAAACGTTAATTCAAGTTCCTAGTGACATACGAGAAATACGTCATTACATTCCTTGGTTGGGAAGTGATTTATGTAGGATTGTGCCTTTGTATACGTTAATGTTTAGAAAAAATGAGATTTTTATTATTTAAGCAAAATATGATTTCGACTAAATTTTAATACAATGTGATACAAACTTTGCTGGGAATTTCATTACAGTCTCAATGGTGCCAAGTAAGCTGAGCCTTCGGGATAATGTAATATTTCCCAACTCGGTTGTAATATACTATATTACCAATTCCTTATTCAAACAAAAACTTGACAACCATATAAAGAGAATAAACAACAATTATAATCCTAAGAGGGATTATCGAGGTTTATCAAAATTTGTCAAATAATGTGAAATAATTTGTCAAAATATTCAGTACATTCAATTTAAGAGTAAAAATTGTATCAAGGAGTTAGATTACGTTTAAATACACTCAAAAGATTCAAAGTAAAACGTAAAATCGGTATTTCATTTATTTTATTCCCGAGGGAATAAAGTACCAGATTATTACTCAAAAATGAGAGAATAAAACATCACTTTATTCTCTTGAGAGGAAAAATAGTATTTGATAATGTATTATTTTATTACATTCCATATTTCTGGAATTTTTATCTAACAATTCAATCAAGAAACGATAATAACCCATACTTAAAACACTTTATCTTTTTTTAAGAAAAACATGAAAATACATACGAGTATATGAGCAGAATTTTGAACAAATACAGGCTGTGTCAGAACTCGCTCCACAGAGAAAAATTCCAAGTAAGATACGAGGAACATGAAAAAAATATTTAAAAAATTCTATCTGTTTGACAATTGACATTTGACATTTTTTATGTCTATTTAATGATACTGATGTTTTTTTATAATTATTTAGTAAAGGTATAAAAATTTTGCCAACAAAAGCCACAAATAACATTAAACAGAGTTACAATTTAGGATACAGCTTCCTTATTTCCTCTTCTAATAGCTATAATTTTTTTAACACAAATAAATAGAGTGCAAAATTTAAACTCTCATAACTCCGAAATTTTTATAGATAAGAAGCGCTCTATTTTTTACAAAATGGAGAAGAATTTAATAGTTTCTCCCATTTAGTAAAAAAAAAATTACATTGAATTTTGGGGGTTTGTTAATTATTTTTACAATTATAAATACGCCAAAAAAGAGATCTAACCTTTTAAATTTTGAAATAAATAAAAATAATGGAGTTATCAATTTTTGAAGAGGAACGTGCAAATCCAAAAATTTCGTTGATAAATCTCAAAATTATTTGATTAATCCAAAAATACTTACATGTTTATTTTTATAATCAAAAATCAAATTAATGCTCTCTAAAAAACTCAATTTTTTTTTGATTAAATAAGCCAAAATCTATGACAGTAACTTAAAAAAACAAAATAGTTTTAACTACGTTAAACATGAAAACAAAGTAAAAAAACACACAACTTCTTAAGTAGATGGAATCGATTGGTAATTGAAAAAAAAGTAATTTTTTTTTTAATTTGACAATAATTATGAAGTGAAAAAAAAAACAATATTCTAAAAAAATTACATTTTGGTTAATTAAATTAACCAAAATTTTTACCATTATTGAAAAAAAAAATAAGGAAAAAATAGTGTTTAATATTAATTTAAATAGTGCAGTTGGTAGTGCAAAATGTCAATACCATTTATTATTTCAACTCTCAAAAAATTTGTTGACAAACTTTATAGAAAATTAATTCCAAGTGTAACTTTTCATCGCTTTTCAATTAGTGAAAAACTAAAGGTGTGTTTTGAGTAAACGATCGGAAACACTTAAAGGTTACGAATTAATTAATGCAAATTGGAGCATATGGCGATTTCCGATTGCTCATTACTCGCCTATCCGGTGTGAAATAGCTCGATGAAAATCTCTCTTTCTCTCTTTGAAAAAAAAAATGTATGATTTAGCTTGTGTGGAATTGGTGCAAACGTCGTTTAATAAATTTCTCGTCAAAGTAGTAAAAAATCGTGTGACTTAAAACGGCTCTTTCAAGACATCAATAAACGAGTAGCATTTATCTTTACATAATAGCAACCTCCAACAGTTTGAATAACAGCAGGATAACGTACAGAGAACGAGCTGCTTTTTGCAAGCGACTAAAGAATTTTGATGAGGTAATACCGATTCTTACTTCTTGTAGAATATTTAATAGTTAACTTATACATACGTAAGGTAGAATACATTCTCGTCGAAGTCGTTATATAGAATGCATTCTTACTCTTCTTTTGACTTTTATCTTATATCATTTACTTATTTACATGACGAAAGTTATTTACGACCAACTACTTCTCTATAAGCACAAATCAACTACACTTTATGTAAACTATTCCAAACTACAAAGAAACGCTAATGCAAGGTGCTAGTTTAACTTCAATTACCGTTCCATTAAATAAATCAAAAAATTTTGTGATAAAACTCAGAATGCGGGACCAATAAAACCGTTTTATTACACCACTATCACATACCAGCATCTTGACAAAAAAAAATTTTTTCAATTCACAAGAAAATTTTATTCTCAATCATGATTCGTACTCTCTTGGAGGTCGGGAAATTTGTTATTACATCCCGTGCTCGGGAAATAAATTATGGAAGGTCAAAAATTAATTTGTTGTATCAACTTTGAAAAATTTATGAAATTAGAAAAAAAAAATTCAATTTCTTGAAATCTTAAGGAAAAATAAAGTAACAATAAAAATAAAGAGCTTTTTACATCTAAAAATCGCAATTTTAAACATTACAATAAAACTTTTCAACCAACTAAATATTCTATTATTTTCTCCTTAAATGTTTTCAGATTTTAATGAAACAATCTCAAATTTCAAAGCCGAGAAATAAAAAAATTAAAATTTTCAAAAAAAAAATTCAAATAAATAAAAAAGGTCATTAATTCAAGTCAAAACCAACGAAAATTTTGAGAACGAAAAGAAAAAATCGTTAATTATTTAATTTCAAAACTAAAAGTTGCAAAAACAACAAGAAATCAGAAAAAATTGAAGTATTGAGAAAGTAAAAAAATAAAAATGGTGTTAACATTCAGTGTTGTACAAGGAGTTTGATCGAATTTGTTGGTGACTACATTTTTGACAGAAAAAAGCTCTTAAAACTACAACTAGTAAAAATATTAATAATATTGTTGTTTATTCCTAAGATACAAGTGAAGTAGCACAACTTTATTCTAAAAATGGTTACTGTGGTAATTTAGTTTTTTTTATCTTATTATTGAAAAAATTAATATACCACAAAACTTTTTTTTCTTCTTTGAGTCTTGTATTTTAGACACGATGCGTCAATAGAAGGTCTCGCTAC